TCTAATTGAGAAACCAGCTCCACAAATCCACGGATAATTGACGTTCTTCAATCCATAGAGGACTCCAGTTGTTCCTTGCAAAAACCAAGTAAAGCGTGAATCATAACAAATCTACATATAGGTTGCTTAAACCTTATCAATAAAACGAATCAATTCAGGGAAGACAGAAAATTTGACAGCAACAAAGAAAGAAAGGAAAAGCATACCTAAAAAAGAAGATGAATTACAGGAAAGAGAGGCATCAATTTACAAGTAACAAACTTCGTTGAAAGCAGAAGAGAGGAGGTTAATTTCTGAATCTCTCCAACAATTCGGAGATCCATAGAAGAGAAATTCAGAAACTGTTGAAAGCTATCAAATTTGGAAAGAATTTTGTTTTCTCAGTTTACAGCACTTCCTTTCTCAAATTTTTAATTTCACTGAGCAATGGATAAACAGGACTTAAGGTCCAAACATTCACATGTATCCAATACCAAGGCACAAAGGCTCACTAAACACTAAAAAAATACAATATACAAAAAACGCAATATAATATAATTAGATACTATAATATTCATAATCATATAACATTTACCGTGTTTGAAATCTCGGCCACTTAGACAATTAATCGGCCGATTAGGCGCGAGTCGGAGGTATGCCGCCGCGATTTTAGGCTAGGCGGTCAACTTAGGGGGTCAACGATTTTCTTCCGCCTAATAACCGTTTTTTAAGAGAATCGTTGACTTTTTAAAAAATTGGAAACTTAATACTATTATTCGGGCCCAATATCAGGCACAAACGTGTCCAAATTTTGGTGTGAGCCCATATTTGTTGACGCACTCGTTTCAATTGGACATGAGATGAAGACACTTATTTGTAGTGCAGCTTCCCGTTCTCATTTATCCAAGTTTGTCGATGTGGGACAACTCCAAAGACCTTATTTTTAAAAAACTGTCATAGGTGTTTATGATTTGAGTTTAATATGGGTTTCTATCTACCAATATGTCTTTTATATCTATCATTATGCATATATTTATAAAAATTTTAGTTTATACATTCTCTAATATAACAAAATTAATTTTTAAAAATGAATAAATTTTAAAAAATAATTAAAATAATTAAAAAATTAATCTTCGATTAATCTCTGATTAATTCCCGATTTTTTGTCTAGGCGCTAGGCGGACCTCGACCGCCCGACTAACGCCTAGCGATTTTTTGAACATTGAACATTTATAAACAATTGAATTAATTCGAAAAAATGTCACTTAAAATAAAAAAAACTTGCCTCATGCTGTAGCGCAGGTTAATTTCTAATATCTTATTATATAGTGAAAATTTCTCAGACTAACCTTTAAGGTTAATGAAATGACAAACATAGTCTAACATATTGAGGGGCTTACTAGACTAACCTTACAAAGTTGGTTTAAGTCCATTTTATACAGATGTTGAATATATTATTACGAAAATGCCATCATGATTTATTTTTTATAAATTTTTTTTTTCGAAAAAACTTTAATTTTGAAAAAAACTTTTTAAAAAATCAAAATTTTTTTTAAACGAAAAAAGCAAAAAAAAAAAAATACAAAACCAAAAACTAAAAAAAAGAAACCCTAATTCATCTTCTTCTCTCTCTCTTTCTCATGGCGCTGTTTTTTTTTTTCTCCCATGGAGCTGCTCTTTTTCTTAATCTTGTCATTCCTCTCTTGCTCTCCTCTTTATCTTTTCTTTTGTTTTGTTAAATTTTGTTGTATGAATATGTATTCTTTATGAACTTCAAAGCTTCAATGTTTCAGATCGAGAAAAACACAACTAGTTCTACCGATTTTTTGTATCAAGAAGCCTCCAACGTTTCCAAGCTCGGAGATCTAGATCTTCCCATGGTTTCTACAATTCATTCTGCTATTATGTGAGTTTTTTTTTCATTTTTTCGAATTCTTTGATTTTTTTCTAGATCTGGGTTTTTGGATCTAATATCAACGATAAACTATGGAGATGTGGCGGTTGGCGGTGACTCTTAAGCAGCATTCTCGCTGCGTCGCGCACAACCGCAGTGGATAGACGTTGTTTCGATGGAATGGTGGTGTTGTGGAGGTTGTCGGCGGCATAAATTTTTTTTTTTCAGGTACGTTTGGTAGATATATTTGGAAATCGATTTTGTATTTTTTTTGTTGTAAAGTTCATAATGTGTGATGGTAGATTTATTTGAAAAACGGTATGTAGTTTGGTAGATTATTAGTTATTTGATGGTAGATATATTTAGAAAACGAAATGTGGTTTGGTAGATTTATTAGTTATTTGATGGTAAAATTATTTTAAAAAACGATGTCATTTGGTAGATTTATTAGTCATCTAATGATAGACTTATTTGTAAAACGATGTGATTTGGTAGATTTATTAGTCATTTAATGGTAACTTATTTGAAAAATGATATGTGTTTGGTAGATTTATTAGTTATTTATGGTAGATTTATCAGTCGTATATATTTGAATTTTATATATAAATAGCAATATTTGTTTATTTTTTCTGACAGATTATGGGCTTTGCCATGGTGAACAAATCTTTGAAGGGATATCCAGCACCGATCCGACATGTTTTACTATGAATTGTAGATTTACATTTGATAGATTTGTTTTGTATATCTATATTTGAATTTGTAAAAATGATAATTAGATTTTGAATGATAATATTTTTGTTTTCAAATTATATTTTTCGTAAAACATTGATCCAGACATTTCACATTTTTATCACATTTGCTAGTAATGTTATTATTCAATTTAATTTATTTCTTTACTTTCACTATGATGTATATCATAACTGAAATCATTTGACATTGTGATGTTGTAAAAGTTTATGTAAATAGAGTTAAATGTAACAAATATTCAAAAATAAAAATCAAAAGATCATAAGTTAAGAGATGGTTATTACAAATATGACATATATGTTCAAAGTTAATATGAAAAGCAAAGTTATCTTAGAGAAAAGATATATCATAGAAATAATATTCATGTTATAAATTTTTGATCATTTATTATGGCATCTATATCGTAAAGACCAATACTCATTTGTGATTGAATCACAGTTAACCGACATAATCTTAGCAAACTCATGCAAAGAAAACGTCAATGGTAACAAAACCAAGTCAAATATAACCATGGAACAAGTCTACCATATGTACGAAACCTGTTTAACATACAACATTCGAAAACAAGGCTACCAAACCGCTGGTTTTTTCGTAGATAGGAGAATATATTTAGGACAAAAAAGTAATTTCAATCCAAAAAGTCAAATGTCTGCCAAACATTAACAACTAAGTCTACCTCAAGCATGAAAAATAACTCTACCATATAAACAAGTCTACCATAAGCATGTCATATGTCTACCATATCAAGGTTATCTCTGTAAATACCAAACTTAATTAATCTACCACATTATTATTTCAAGAAGTCTACTATACGGTCGATAAGTCTACCAGATTACATAAACTCTACTAAACATACAAACAAATCTACCAACATCTTGTAAGTCTACTTCATGTCATTATTAATCTACCACAAATCAGAATGAAATTTATTTAAAATATAAGTCTACCACAAAACAAACATATCTACCACAAAACAAAATCTACCAACAGTTTTTAAGTCTACCTCATGTAACATATAATCTACCACTCACCGGAATGAATTTTAAGTGAAATAAGTCTACCACAAGTCAAACAAATCTACTACAATAGCGAAAACTCTACCAACTATATATAACTCTACCATTAAACAGATATATCTACCACACGTATTGACAACTTTTTTCACATAAATCTACCGCTAAAGGAAATAAGTCTACCAACTCAGAAAATAAATCTACTTCATTGTCAATAAATCTACCGAAAAAGTCAACTATGCGAGAAAGTCAACGCTTTTTTTAACAAGTCTACCAAAACTTTTGACAAGTCTGCCATTCATAACAACAAATCTACCGAAACATAATAAATCTATCTCTTATCGTCAAAACTCTACCAAAAAAAGTCTACCAACAGTTAAAAACTCTACCAACTCTTGAATAAATCTATCATCGCCCTAATAACTCTACCAACAAAATTTCTGCGTTGACCAAATTTTCATAAGTCTACCGCCATTGCTTGGTAGACTTATTAATTTTTGAGCGCATAAATCTGCCTACGTGGCATTAAAAAAATAATGGCATTTTCGTAATAAAATTTTTTTCAACAAAGGCAAAAAGGGTGTTTTGGGTATGCTAGGTTAGTTTTTTAAAAATAAAAGTGCGTCGAACAAGTAATATAGATACTTTGTAGTAATCCTCCCTATTATATATGTACATAGCTTTGCATTTCAGCAACTTTCCCTCATGATCTCATGGCTCAAAGATTTTTAGCGTACTTTTAGGCCCATATTAAGTATGAGTTAAAAGGCCCATTCAATAAAGAAAAGTCACACAGAATTACAGAATATGCATTTTCTTTCCTATAGTTTCTATTTCTGACATGTTCTTCTTGTGCTTATAAACTCGTTTTCCTGTATAGGCACTGATTAATGCCCTATTTTTTTTTATTAACTTCTGGAATTCTAAATCACAATGAATTATATCTGGTTACATATATTGTTTATCAAAACAAAAGCTTATAGCCTAATGATTTGTGTTCGTGTTTGTTTGATTAGAGATTTAGAATCACGGTAGTGAGATCGACGGTGGACAACTTTTCAGACCTTAATTTATATGTTCAAACTTCAGCCCGTCTCTTCTATATATTTTTCGAAATAGAAATGCAAAAAAGTTTTTGGCAAATATTTTTGTTCCAAATGTATTGAAATAAATCATTTGGATTGTTCATCCTAATATGACCAACAATAATATTAATATTGTTGTTAGTAAATACTGAAATTTGCAAATAAAAAAAAATGTATATATACAAATTAGTTAGTATATACAAAAACTACTATCAAACCTCACATACAAGATGACTTTCAATACACCTCCACCAATTCAATACATTACAAAACCGACCCAGTGTATATGCAGATACATGTGCTGTACGCGTGATTATGATGATATACAATTATACACTATATACACAAACTTATAAGTATGGTCATGGAGCCGAATGTGAATAACTATAAGTATGTGTCTGAAAAGACAAAGTGTTGAGAGAGGTGAGATCAAAATCGTCTGAATCACAATAAACCACAGAAGGGCTTGGGTGGTTATGTCTCCCTTCGTAGGTTGTCAACACATACTCTGGATTGCTCGTATCTATATCAATCTTCTTCTTCACGATACAACCGGGGTTCGAACACTTGTGATAATGCCTGTTTCAAATAATTAACACCAATCATATATTAGTAAAACTCTGTAGGATACTTGTATATGATTTGTGTAATGCAAAGGTTTAATTGTATAATAAATAGTGTGGTCACAATATTAGCATAATGATAATAATATCGTCGTCTATATGTCCATTTCATATCAAAGGTGGGGGGGAATTAAGGCCCTTCAATAAAATATCATTATCAGAGCCAATAAGTTGAAAGATTTGGTTATTGAAAAGTTCATCATTTTGTATCCAGTCGACGTTATTTGATATAATGCATTATATATATAATCTGCATGTTGGTTATCTACACATATAGAAACATGCGTTTGGACAAGAAACATCTCCGCTGAAGAAGGAACATTAACCATATTATATATTATACATTACCTACACATGTAAAGTATTAGCTATTTTAGCTAGAGAATTTATATAAAAATTACGTATATTATTAGTCGAAACATGCTAATTTTTATTCATAGATATAGTGAGTATCGAAATTATATCATTATCTTATCTGTGAAATATATTTTTGTGGGTAGAAACACATACTAATTTCAAAAAGTGAAATTGTTAGTTATACGATTTCTGCAATAAATAATTGTGTAACAATGTGAAAATGAAACTAGTACGTAAACTACTAGAATTTGGTTTCATTTTACTTCTTGCTAAACCAATGTACGTACAAGGTTTTGGTTTTAATTATTAGTGCAAAAAGAGCAGTAATTACTTGTAAAAATTAACCTGTAAAAATCTGAGCCTGGACTATGTATAAACTGTTTCAAGTTGTCCATTTGATACTTAACTAATATACGCTTTAAGAGATGCATACTTTCTTAATTCATCAAGTGGGCATATTCATTGCGATATTCAAACCAACACAAACTATAGCATATGCAACTGCTATATTATCAAAGTTGTCGGATAACGCGCTTCTTTCTCGAGGAACGCCTCTTCCCGTCCGAGGGACAAGTGAAGTGAGAATTATACTTTAATAAAATATATAAGACTGTACGAGTCAGTAAATCGCGACCATATAAATTAACCACTATCCTATACGAAGTTAGAATCAACAATTTATCTTTTTCATCTTTCCCCTGTTTCACTATAGATTTTCCTTGTTTTTGTTTCTTTTTTTTGGCAAAGTTTTTCTAATGGCTGGTTACGCTTATGTAAGTAACTAACTACAAAAAGCTCTCATTTTTATGATTTTGACAGTACTTTTCAATGAAAAAAATTAAAATCAACGGCTTAATTTACCTTGGATGTGGACTACCTCTTATCGTTTTCTTGCCGTATTTCCTCCATTTATATCCGTCATCTAAAGTTTCTTTAGCTGATTTCGTTTTAAACACGTGAATAACCTGGTGATCATCTTTGTGTCTCTTCCTCTTCTTGATCTCATCTTTCTTCCCTCTGTATAAAATTGCGAAACATATCAGTACTGTTATTATAACATTCATTAACAACAAACTAATGCTAATTATATGTATGATATAAAGGTTGACTTACATTTCAAGGCTCATAGGTGAGGTAGCTAGGCTTGTTTGAAGCGGGCTTGTGACTTCTGCGGCCAGTAATTTCTCTGAGGAGGTCCAACTCAAAGTGGGCGAGTGATCCTCGAGGCTGAATTCTTCCATGATCATCTGAAAAGTAGTATCATCAAAATCATCGAATTCGAAAGTTTCAGCGAAATCTGTGAAATTAGGGTTAGGGTTTGACGGATAATTCATTTTCTTTGTTCAAGAAACTTGTTTGGTGTTGTCGGCTGTTGCGCTAGGAGGAGGAGGGATCTTGTTAAGCAGTATACTGTTTATATAGACAACAAAATCCCAGGAAAAAAATTAAAAAAGTAATACAACATAATTAAAGTATATTTGCATTTAAATAAGTAAATAGTTCCATGCCTAGATTCAACGAAGCTTCTTGAATGGAATTAATATACAAGTAAAAACTCTATAAATTAATATTTGATAAATTAATAAATTTGATAAATTAATTAATTTTCTTGGTCCCAAATTTAAATCTTGAATTCAATTAATCATTTAATAAATTAATAATCCACTAAATTAATAAAATGTAGAAGTCTCAACATTAGTAATTTATAGAATTTTTACTGTAACGACAAATGATATTTTCTTTATTGTTATTCTTTCTTTAGTTTAAAAAAATTAAAAGTACTCATAAAAATGGAAAGTTTACTTTTTCACATATTTTTTAAGAACTTTTGAAAAAAAACTAATTTTAAACGTTGTCCAATCAAATCCTCGAGTAAAAATACATGTATATAACGGCCCCCTCAACAATAATATTACAAATAATTAATCACTTTTGATAAAATCTCGATCTTGAGTGGATTTAGCTAGCAAACGAACCAATAGATGATGGGTCCAAGATCTAACCGAAAACCTAGCTCTGATTGTTCGATAAAAAGAGAAATCTAGTTCTGATTGACAATATTAATGTTTTTTTGCTTTTAAGTGTTTTTTCCTCCTATTACCACATACATTCGTAATGCAACAAAGAAAAATCCAATATTTGATTAATTATGAAAGTGATCAAATATTTTTGAATAGAGACTAATTGCGTTACAATCAGTTCAAATAAGGCATCATGAATATTCAAATTGTAGTAAAGATTATTAAGATTTCGTAGTTGACGATTTGTTTATCATGTTTTGTGGACTGGAGTCAAAACTATCATGGAGTTTATATGCTGCAAATGAAAATCACTTTGGCAACTTCTCGTAAGTCTTTCGAACTTAGTTTCTATTTCAAAAGTGACAACCGTTGTGTTGTTTATAACCATGAAAAACAAAAATTTACAGTTTAATGTTTATAAGAGATATTTTTAAAGCTCATATTTTATCTTTGTGCTTATAGGACAAGTAGTTCCATTGTTAATGATTTTTAATTGTAATACTAATAGCCTTATAGGGCAAGTTGTCGAAACTTTGTTATTAATTATAGTCAACACCAACCTTTGTCTGCGTCGCCAAATTAATTTATAACCAAGCACCTATCACATCAAAAAGAACATTAAATATTTTGTTACAATGAATCACTGAGAGTTTTCTTCTTTTTGGCCAGTGGTTAATCTTTTTTTTTTTTTGAAAGGCCAGTGGTTAGTTAAAATTTAACTCTTGAACTAAAATTCTAAAAGCTTGTAAACATGTAAAGTGCGACTTTTCTATATAGCCATGTAGGACGCGCACCGTTTGTTACCAATATTTTGCATTTAGCAGAATTAAAAATTCGAGCAATAGCGTGATTGGTATATTATTTATAAATAACTAGCTTTATTGCATGGATGAGATTTTAAGTGCATCTTTACTTGCTAGTTACTTCATGGATGCCACTGACGTTAGAGAGATGACGTCAACCTTGTAACGTCATTTCCCGTTGCCGATGCCGTAGAGCGGAATTAATTAATTTACGTACCAATAATCAAATATTAATACGGATTTTTGTCGTTGATAGGCCAAGCACGGGACTGATCAACGACGTTCGTGGATGCCACGTGGGAAACCTCATTCTGATGGGACCACTATTCCTCTTTTTTGATCTGGCACGATATATATTTTTTACAAGCGGAAAGATTTGGCTGCTTTATTTAGTTAATAAAAATATTAACCATGGTTGAAATAGATTTTAAGCTATTTAAATTTAATCAAATTATTGCAATACCATATACATTTTAAGATATTTTTTTTTTAAATGAGGATCCTATGACACATCTAAGCATATTATTGCAGTACCAAATTAATATATTTTTTTCTTTTCTATTAATTTAACTAAAATCTACGGTTGCCAAAAAAAAATTAAAATGAAAATTAACGTTTTGTTAACAATCGTTGGAAAATTAGGAGTTGGAACATTAAATTTAAACGGAAACATCAAAAAGAATAAAACTTGTGTGCAACAAATAAGTTGCACAAAGATGCATACTTTTTAATGTGCTATATATAGTAATTTACGAAACAAGGCGTGAGTAAAACAGGTGATATATTACCTTCAAGATGTTAGATATCTATGTGCAGAACAGAGCTTTAGCACTTAAAAATAATTATCTAAATGGGAATCGCACATCTTATAAATTAAACCTGGTTTAATGGCTAATCTATCTTTATGATGCATGAACAATCCAGTCTACTAGTAAAGGCTCATTCACACTATCTTCACCTCTTTTGAAAATTTTTCTTACTCCATCTGTTTTAAATATAAGTCGTTTTACAATTTTTTTTTATTTTAGAATAATATTATTCGTTTTTGTTTTCAGTTTCCAATGCAAAAGTTGATAATTTTCCAGTTTTATTTCTACTCTTTTATTAATTAGTACGTATGATCATAGTATATTAATGTAAGATAAAATAAAAATAAAATTATTTTCTTAATGTGTGAAAAAATTTGAATAAAACGATGAAGTAATATTTTGAAAATTATTTTGGGAATGCCAAAATACTCATTCATAACGTGGTTTGCTATTTAAAATGTCTCTTTACACATGTCAGAACCTACAGCTAAAGACACATTCAATCATGTTTGTTGTACAGTGAAACTGGTTAAGTCGAAAGATCACTTATTTTTCGATTGTCTTTATACTTACACAATATGGCTTAATAGTAGCCAACCCGACACCTTGCATCGCCTGGCCTTGCTATGACAATGTCTTTTTCATTTTCCTTCGGTTGGCTTTTCGAGCTATATATAATTAACTATGTTAGGGGATAGAGGCAGAGCATATCATTCGTACCATTGATAAGTTAGTTAGAAACAGTCTCTTTCTTGTTGTACCAGGACTCGCCTCAACTCGCGGGAATGCTCCGTGTGTGGTTTCAAGCCCGCATTAAGGGTTTAGTTCTTCGTCATTAGAATTTTTTTTTTTTGCGTTATTTCAATATTGAATTTATGCTATTATTGATTAAATTTATCTAAATTTATTATATATACACACATATAGAGTCGGTCTATGTTTGACCTAGTCATGTTGACTCATTCGTTTTGATTTTAAATTCATACCTCCGAGAAGAGGTGTATCCTACTCCTGGAGTCCTACCATACATCGATCGAAATAGCATATCACCGATTAAATAACTCGGTTAATATGGTTGACAAAACCAAAACCAATTTTGTTTCTCACTTATTAGTATTTTAGGCTGTGTTTGTATTTTGATGTAAAAACTAAGCTACTTGAAATCAAAGCCATATTCTATTCTATATATATATATATATATATTATATATATTAAGTGAACGAGATATGAGTTTCATTTGGTTCATATACGTACTTATATAAAAGGAATAACCTCAAAATACAATAAAAAATGAACGGAAGTTATATTGAACTCACATACATGTGATAATTCAACAAATTCTAACTACTTGTGTAGAGAAGATATTGTGAGAGTTTTGGTTTGGAAATTATTGTTACTGTTAAATTCCACAGTGAACCCTTTGACATCAAATCATAGCAATTGGTGAACTAGTCCTAACTTCTGGGTAAAGTTCTAGACAAACAACTCGGTTTGACTGACTTTTTTAAATTGTGATTGGCTGATTGTATAAGGAATGTGCGTAAAAAGATATTATTTTGCAATATTTATAAGGATTATCATTAGAAAATTGATAAGCTGTGTCATACATGATTCACTCCTGAGTTCTAAAAAACGAGTTATTGAAAGTGAGTAGGTCTAATGTAAAATTTAAATATACGATTCAATACGAAGTGGCATAAGACCATCCACAACTCTGAACTCCATGATGAGGTTCATCAGCATTTTTTAATAATTTTTGGAGGAGAGAGAATGTGAAAAAACCTTGGATGAACTTGGGTGAAAAATGGGCGTCCAACCCTGATATCCAATTAGGGGTTCAACAGAATAAAATAATAATATTTTTTGAAAGTTTTTTTTTAACTTGTTTAAACATTTGAATTATTTAAAATGAAAAGATTTATTAAGTACATATAATTTAAAACTAAACATAGAAATTGAAAAAACAAAAGTAAAATCGCCTTTGGAAGTTTTTTAAAACGAAGGTTAGGATTCGATCGAAGGGAAGACTTGTGTCGAAGTCGCGATATCGCAAATCGCTTTTGGGAGTTTTTTTTTTGATAAAAACAGAATGCAAAATAAACCCTAACCTTCGACCCCGACTCTAAAAAATTTCCCCCAAACTACACTTAATCACTGCTTGCCACGTAACCCGTTGAACTTCGACGATACGGGCTCGTCAGGCTCATCCCAATGAGACGGTATTAGCGAGTTTTTGGGCCTAATCGATTAAAAAAAAAAAATAATGGTATTGGGCCCCACAGATGAACCCCGCCCATCCCGCGTTGTGGATAGTCTAAGCACGTCCTTGACCATAAAATTTTGATGGGTCAACTCATTAGATAAGGACAAGAATCAACCAATTGTCGTCGTCCAATATTACGCAGATTTTTTTTCTTTTTTTAAATATTAACCTTAAATGGAAGTGAGGGGAGATGAATTTCAATGAAAGAGCAAAGACTATTAGCAAGTTTCCGAACATTTGCTGCGATTGAAGTTGTAGTGTTCGGGGGCGATTGTTAATAATATCGCGCTGGAAAAATGTAAAGCATCTTTCAAACTACTCTAAGATAACTTTGATGAGGTTCACATTATTTCTTGTTTTTTTTTTCTGTTTTGTTTTGTAAGCTTTTGGCTTGTATACATTCTTTAGTTTAATCGAAAATTGTTATTATGCGTTCATGAAAACTTTTTTTTTATGTATATTACCATTTTCAAGTTGAATCGAATTTAGCGTTC